CCTCAAGTCTTACAAAAGACTACGAACACACAAACTTCTATTTTTATTATAGCTCACTCAAGCCAATGCCTACAAAATTAAATGATAAGCAAAAAAAAAAAAGTTACTGTATAATGTCACGATTAAACGTGAACTCTTGCATAATGTTGACGTTCCTGCGCATCCCTTAATTAAGAGCTCGATAATTTAAGCTGATTCTTTTAATATATTACATTCCTAATTTTTGTATAAATATCCACTCGTCTTTATCTAATAAAGCTTCAGTCAATTACCACAGTATAACTTCTGTCCTTAGATCTTATTAGTCTATTCTTGTCCTTTCTTATCTTTGTAAGTCCTACCTCCTCTAGATCATCTTGCAAACCCTTAACGCCACCCTCTTTTGTCTTTCCTATAGTTGTACCATCCAGTATCTTAGTTCTTGTCCGGTTCTATTCCTCTCCTTCTTCCTCCGCTGAACAATACAACTTATTACATATAGTTACAAAAATATAGGAGCTTGTCTCCGATGCCGCCATAAGGCAACAGTATGATGGCTAACACTGTTGAGAAGTACAATATCATCACAGTGCGATTTTTTTTACTTATATTTATTCATATAATAATCCAATATTGTTTTTGAAATAAAGGTCAAAATAATCACCTCACGTTGATTTTCTTACAGAACCTTCTCGTAATAAAGATTTTTTAAACTTTCTTTTCTTTTTACTTTTCAATACAAACTTATCATCTTTCATCATATATAATCAGGATCTAGTGGTCATTAACGCGAAATACAATAATCAATTATTACTCTGCTTTATTCTTTTTATTTCGAACCAATCTTAAATTTTTTAAACTTGCCAAAGTCATAAACTAAAAATATCAACATAAATAACCCTCTTTTCTCCTCTCTTCCATTGTTGCATTTAATAGGATATTAAATTACTTGGAGCCACAATATTTTTTTTCTTAGAAACTTTTCTGTATCCTTTTATATTACCTTAGGCTAATTAATCATGCAAGATATGATACCACTTGAATAATTAAGTATAAATAATTTTTTTTGACTTAAAGCAAGCCAGATACTCTTGTAGCCTACAAAAACAGTTCTTGAACAAAAGACAGCATAAAGATGCAAATACTAATTTTACTTTTGTTATGACGTATAACTAAAATATTATCGTCGTTACATTTGGTTTAAAATCCGATTTATTGTTCCGTTAAATGATCCTTAGTTACAACAGCGACCAGGGGGAATATAAATGCACACATATTTTTGTGATAGGGTAACTCTCTCAACAGATAAAACAAACAAGGAAATATTTTGAAATGCTTCATTAGGAGAAAGTTAGATGAAGAACAAATTACATGGAATAAAGGACTCTATTTATACTTTTTTAGATGCACGACTTTTGAGGAGATCTTTTATCGAGTTAATACTGCTCATTGGTTAATGTTATGTAAACACGAATATATGAAGTGTTGAACACATTACACGAGTAAGTGATCTTGGTTGTTATCAGTCTTTTCTTTATTATTTCGAACTTGTGCTACAATAAAAGACAATAAAATAATTGAAATAAAAAAATACTTGATCTTCATCTTCTTGAATGAGACCGGGAAACAAAGCAGAGACAAGAAAGGGACGAGGAGGGTGGGAACAACCAAGATCACTTACTCGTGTAATGTGTTCAACGCTTCATATATTCGTGTTTACATAACATTACACTTCGTAAGACGTGATCTTGGTTGTTGATCCAGAGTAGATACACTAAAATTTGTAGAAGTAGCTGAGGACAGACGATAATGGTGTTCAAAGATATCGCGGGAAGACCAGGAGCCATGGGCGACAATGTTGTCAACGGAGACGCCCGCTTGTGCCGCAAGAGTGGCAGCTAGTCCACGAGCCTTAGGTACAGGAGCTTGAGCGGATCTACCAACCTTGGTCATTATCTGCTTGATGTACTTAGAGATACGTTCGGCAGCGATGGGTGTGTTGTGGTTCTGTAGGGAGCGGAGGAGCTTATTCAATTTTATTGTTGGGAACAAAGGGTGAGCAGTGCGACAGTCT